CTGCTGAAATCATTCAAATTTGGTAGTCCTAAGCTGTTCTCTCTGCCTTGTCTTTCTCATGGAAACCTCAATAAAGCCTCTGGCTTTATTCCTGCCTTTCTACCTCCTAGTCACCCTGGGGTCTTTGCCATGTGGCCTTGGGTGGTGTGACATGTGAGCCTCCCATCTCTAGGACTTGTGAGTATAAATAAACTTTTCTGTTCCTTTTCTGGAATTTCTCTTGGTGGTTGGAACTCATAGACTGGTACTTGAAGCACCACTACCACTGTCCTAATTTTCCACTTCTTTTTCTTTTGTTCTTTTTGTTCTTATTTATTTCCCCCTTTTTTTTTCTTTTTGAGACAGAGTCTCACTTTGTCACCCTCAGTAAAGTGCTGTGGCATTACAGCTCACAGCAACCTCAGTCTCTTGTGCTTAAGTGATTCTCTTGCCTCAGTCTCCCAAGTAGCTGAGACTACAGGTGGCCCCAATGCTTGGGTATTTGTTGTTGTTGTTGTCATTGCTGTTTAACAGGCCTGGGCTAGGTTCAAACCTACCAGCCCCGGTACATATGACCAGCACCCTAACCACTGAACTACAGGCACCGAGCCTCTTTTTCTTTTCTTATAGCCACCTTGTTTCCTGGATGTAGTATCTTATTTATGTAAGAATATTAAATTTTCTTTTGTTTCATGTAGTCTGGGTCTCACCAGCATTTATATAAGAGTTTTTCCTGAAAAGTTGGTAATCTTTCACTTTCCGTTTGTGTTTAATAGTCAAAATAAGAATTCCATCCAAAAACTCTTTGTAATAGGGCAGACTAGTGATCTTCACTATGAGGTTGGTCATCAAGTGATTTGAGAATTTCCATATGTCAGCATCTGTAGGTGTTTGGGCCTTGGCTTGTAAGTTTTTTTTTGTTTGTTTTTTTGAGACAGAGCCTCAAGCTGTCCTCCTGGGTAGAGTGCCGAGGCATCACAGCAACCTCCAACTCCTGAGCTCAAGCGAGTCTCCTGCCTCAGCCTCCCAAGTAGCTGGGACCACAGGTGCCTGCCACAACGCCTGGCTATTTTTTGGTTGCAGCCATAGTTGTTTGGTGGGCCCAGGCTGGATTCGAACCCACCACCTTGGGTGTATGTGGCTGGTGCCTTAGCCACTTGAGCCACAGGCGCCAAGCCTTGGCTAAGTTTTACCATACAAAGATTCATTCAACAAAAATTTATGGAGTATCCACACTGAGCCAGATACTGTTCTGTGTGCTGGGAATATAACTGAATAAAACCTTGTCTTTCTACCTGGTGATTGGAAGCTTTGGAGCCAATAGTTTGGACTGAGCAGAGAAAAGTGCATTGAGGTCTGTCAATTCTGTGTCAGCTTTCACTTTGACAGTGGTACCCATCCCATTGTTAGCCACGCCTGATAGCCCAATACTGGATTTATCTAGTTCAGCCTTCCTCAAGAATAAACTGCAAAACTTCTGGTCTGGTGGTTTGGAGATGGAATCTGGTGGTTTGATTTTTATAGACTTTCAACCAGTGCTGAATTGATCTGTCCCCAGACCTAACCTTCAGAAATTAGAGGCACAAGCTATGCCTATTAGTACAACTCATTCTATGAATAGGATTGTTCTTGTTGAACCATCGTTCATTCATGGGATAAAGGATATACTATCTTTTCTTGACACCTTTTCCAAATTGACCTCTCATGAAACAGTGACTCAACAGTGGAGTAAGGGAGGAGGAGAAGAGATGGGTTGCTGGAAATAGGCACAGGTATCAAAGGAGAAAAATAGGGTATGCTCTGGTCAGTGTGAGCACATCTCCAGGTTAAATAAGATTTCAGGAGGGCTTAATGGAGGATATTTAATGGGTTTGGGGTGGTGTTTCTTCAGCTACCACTACTTAATACCACTCTTGCACAGAGATGAAATGCAACCGTTTGTATTTTTTTGTTTATTTGAGACAGAGTCTCACTTTGTCACCCTCAGTAGAATGCTGTGGCATTATAGCTCACAGCACCCTCAAACTCTTGGGCTCAAAGTGATTCTTTTGCCTCAGCCTCCCAAGTTGCTGGGACTATAGACACAACACCTGACTATTTTTAGAGGCGAGGTCTTGTTCTGCTCAGGCTGATCTTGAACCTGTGAGCTCAGGAAGTCCACCCACCTCAGCCTCCTAGAGTACTAGGATTACAGGCGTGAGCCACCGCACCGGGCCTAACAATTTATATTTTAATGTTTCAGGTTTGGAGAGCACATTTGAGAACAAACAGTTGATTCTAAAGCAAGAGATATCAGAAGAAACTGAGCCACAGGAGTGGTTACAAGAAGTGTGCCAGGGGAAGCCCTCCCTGTTTTCTGAACATGGTGACACCTGTGAGGACAGGGTAGCAAAGAGGTCAAGAAATCCCTCAACAATGAAACTTGAAAATTCTCCTGAAGGGCAAGGACTCACCAGCATCTCAGATCTCAACAAAAATGATTCCACAGAAGGGAGAGACTCTAAAAATAATGAATTTGGGAACAGTGCCAGATATTCCAACTTTGTTTTTTGTCAGCACATCCAGAAAGCAGAGCGGCCTATTGATGGTGATGTGCTAAGGAACAAGTGCAAACAGAGTTTAGATATGGTGACACATCATGTGGTGAAACCTCACAAGTCTATGGATAGTAGAGAAAATGTCCATCATTCTAGGCTGTCTGAGACCCCAAGGTGCTTCCGAGAAGAAAGACCTTATAAATGTGACAGCTGTGAGAAGAGTTTCAAACAACGTTCTGACCTCTTTAAACACCAGAGAATCCACACAGGTGAGAAACCCTATGAATGCCAAGAATGTGGAAAAAGGTTCAGTCAGAGTGCTGCCCTGATTAAACACCAGAGGACACACACAGGTGAGAAACCTTATACCTGTTTAAAATGTGGCGAACATTTTAGACAGAGTTCACATCTAAATCGGCATCAAAGAACTCACAATGGAGAGAAGTATTACAAATGTGAGGAATGTGGGGAAACCTGCCATACTTCCAACCTTTTTAGACATCAGAGACTACATAAAGGGGAGAGACCCTATAAGTGTGAAGAATGTGAAAAGAGCTTCAAGCAGCGCTCTGACCTCTTTAAACATCAGCGAATCCACACTGGGGAGAAGCCTTATGGATGTTCTGTCTGTGGGAAAAGCTTCAGTCAGAGTGCAACCCTCATTAAACACCAGAGAACTCACACTGGAGAAAAACCTTATAAATGCCTTGAATGTGGGGAAAGATTTAGACAAAGTACACACCTTATCCGACACCAAAGAATCCATCAAAATAAAGTCTCATCATTTTGATTTGCTTCTGTGTGCCCTGTTTGTTTCGTTGTCCAGAACTCCATTCTTTAGCATTTTATTTCAGTCAGTTGTGGGTCATCTTTCCTCAGGCATCTCACACCAGTAGTTTCCATCTGACTTGAGTCCCCCATCCCCAGACAGAGCCTCAAGCTGTCCCCCTGGGCAGAGTACCGTGGCATCACAGCTCAGCAACCTCCAACTCCTGGGCTCAAGTGATTCTCCTGCCTCTGCCTCCCAAGTAGCTGGGACCACAGACGCCCGCCACAGTGCCCAGCTGTTTTTTGGTTGCAGCCATCATTGTTTGGCAGGCCCAGGCTGGATTCGAACCCGCCAGCTCAGGTGTATGTGGCTGGCGCCTTAGCCGTTTGAGCCATAGGCGCCGAGCCTGACTTGAGTTTTGATACATATTCTGATAGTATTTCAGTCAGCAGGACTGAGGAAGTAGGGAACTCTTCAAAAGATGACTTCTGATGGTAGGAGCGAGACTGACATGTGACAGGTTTCTGTCCTTGTCATCTGCACTCTTCTGACATCTGCTATTGAACCAAATCTTGCCCACTTCCATTATTTTCCTAACAATTCATTTTAGTCACTTTTAGAGTTGCCTTTTTCCTTGGATGGTGAAGCTTCCCACTACTTCATAATCCTCAAAACTTCTGGCAAAGTTCAGTACACACAAGAGGCACTACATTTTTTATTTTAAAAAATAATTTTGTGACCTAGAACCATAATTTGGGGAAAATAAAGGAAAAAACATAATTTGGCAGACTCTTTCCCATTCGAGTAATCTAGGACTTCAGTTTTGTAATTTATTTTAAAACAAACCCACCCAAGCACACACTCTTAATTCTTATCATTGCATCCATTTCACAGCTTATTGAAAAGGGCCTTTAATGTGAATACTTGCGGTGGTTGTGATAGGTCATCCCTAAACCTTTCACTGAATTGGGGGGGGGGGCCTCTTGGGATGTCAGCTTTAAATGTGCCATCTGCAGAGGCTGCTTTTTTTTTTTTTTTTTTACAAACTTTTAGCATATTTTACTGATTTAGGGTGAAACAAGGCAGCATTTGGTCAGTTAAGAAAGGCACCTCATTGCGAATAATATATCACAGTATTGTCAAGTGATCCAGTCATAGGATTTGAGATGGAAAGGACAATCCTTGGATGATAAAGCTTAGGACACATGCTTGTTTAGTTTAAAAAGTCCCTTCACACATCGTGGATGAAAGAAGGCAAGAGTGCAGGATTGTGGGATATACTGGGTCCCTGCAGAGTGCTCACCCATGAGAGCAGGTGGATTGGTAAATCAATGGTAAGTCAGAGGAAGGTAGGCACTCCAGCCTCCCCTGCCCCAGACTTCAGTAAACTTGATTTGTTGAGCCACCCTGCTCCCCATGAATACATTTCATCTCTTTCAAATGTGGAGATGATTTTTTGATCTTACGGTATGGAGAAACCAGGGTCAGTAGTCAAACCCTTCCTGTTCTAAGCTATGGACAGAAAGAACAAGAGTTTGATTTCCTGTACTCTTGGTCTGGCAACACGTGAGGTTTGGTGATAAAAGCTGAGGTCTCGGGGCACTGTCTTTAAAAAAATATTGTTACCAGTCCAGAGTAAATCAAAACCCAATTCCTTAGAAATAATACTGTACCTCCCTATTTCTACCCATATTCTCCGAGCACAATTTTTTAAAAAAATTAATTTTCCCCTTTACTAAAACTTTAAAGTCACCACCTATGTGTAAAAATAATCTGCCTCACTACAACCACACTGCTGCTCTTCTTAATACTCCTCTTGAGCCCCTCACCAGCCCTCCCTCTCCATCCTCACCATGACCACCCATCCCCTCTGCCCAGCACCTAAGAGCAGGGATCATGCCGCGGGGTGATGAGCAGTGGTGCAGTCTCGCCTGGCCTTCTGTTACTAGGATGTGGCTTTGGAGAAGGCAGCTAGGATGCTCGCAAACACGACGTCAGGGGTCTGGGATGCATGGATGGCAGAATGAATCCCCCGTTTTCTGTAGTACTCCACTAGTGGGGTGGTCTGCGTGTGTTAGGCCTCCAGGCGGATTTTCAAGGCCTTCTCATTATCATCTGATCAATGGATCAAGGGTTCCCCAGTGATATCATCTTTCATGGGCTCCCTTGGGGGGGTTGAACTCCTCGTGGTAAGAACGGCCGCTCTTGGGGTAAATCAGCCTTCCTGTGATTCTCCAGATCAGAAGAGAGTCTGTGATGCCGAATTCAATCACAGAATCAAGTTTCTCTTTCCTCTTCTCCATGAGGTCATCGAGCATTTCTGCCTGCCTTACAGTCCGAGGGAAGCCATCTAGAAGAAAACCATTTCTGCATGAAGGAGTCTCCAGATTCTTCTCAATGAGCTCTACTACAATTTCATCGCTTACCAGCATCCATAGTTGCCTTTAGCTTTTTTCCCAGCTCCGAGCCAGAAGCCACCATGGCCCTCAGCATAACCCCAGTGGCCAAATGGCAGACACAGAATTTTTCAGCCAATTTGGGTGCCTGGGTACCTTTGCCAGTCCCGGGAGGCCCCAACAGCACGGCCCGGATGCCTTTAGGATACTCGGGCTCGGCCACTGGTGCGTTGGGAGCCATGTTGGCCAAAGCCTCTCACCGCCACGGGTCCACACACCTCACAGGTCCAGTGCTTCCAGGCCAGCAAGCCAGAGGCTGCTTCTTGTGTGAGACACGAGAAGTATTCATGCAAGATTGCTTTGGGGATGTTCCAGAAGAGGATACTAGGTACAGAAACATAAATATTTACGGACATTATCTAATATTTTGTTCCTAAAATCCATACATTTCTCACCAAGTGCAGTGGCTCACACCTGTAATCCCAGGACTTGGGAGGCTGAAATGGGTGAACTGTCTGCGCTCACAGGTTCCAGACCAGACTGAGCCAGAGCGAGACACCACACCCCCGTCTCTAAAAATATAGCTGGGTGTGGTGGCAGGTACCTGTAGTCCCAGCTATTGGGAGGCTGAGGCAAGAGGATCACTTGAACCCAAGAGTTTGAGGTTGCTGTGAGCTAAGATCCCATAGCACTCTACCAAGGGCGACAAGCTGAGACTGTCTCAAAAAAAGAAAAAAAAACCCATATATTTATTTCTGAATTCTAAGCATCCCTCTGAGGTAAGTGGGAACCCATGTCATCTGCATTTACAAAGCAAGAAACTTAAGGCTCACATTAGACACTTCACAATAAAATGATTTCACTGCTCCTGAGGTAAGTGCAAACTTTCCCCTTCCCCTGAGTAGGTGGCTCCCACTCCACAATTCACATACTAGCCCTCTGCCTGTCTTCGTGGCCTCCTGCTCTACTGGAGCTTCAGCAGTGGTGAGCCTTGAGCCCAGCAGTGGTGAGCCTCGAGCCCAGCAGTGGTAATGGAGATCACTGAGAGCATGCATACCTTCACAGCCAAATACAAGGTGAGTTGAGAACTTGATCCTTAATGTCCCAGCACTGCTTTTGCCCACCCTTCAATGCAAATGCAAGGCAGCTATGGGGTTGGCTTCCTTATCCCTGGTGGATTTAACTTTAGACACTATTTTTTGGAAGAACTCAGAGCCTCAGTCCATCTTAATACCTTTCCATTTCTACACATTGGTAACAAGTATGGCATCCCAATTCTTTCAGAAACTTAATTCTTTTAATCAAGGGAAAGCACATTACTGGATATTTGGAAAATTAAGAAAAAACTACTCAGGCGGCACCTGTGGCTCAGTGAGTAGGGCACCGACCCCATATACCAAGGGTGGCGGGTTCAAACCCGGCCCTGGCCAAACTGCAACAAAAAAATAGCCAGGCATTGTGGCAGGCGCCTGTAGTCCCAGCTACTCGGGAGGCTGAGGCAAGAGAATCGGCTAAGCCCAAGAGCTGAAGGTTGCTGTGAGCTGTGATGACACAGCACTCTATCAAGGGTTACATAGTGACGCTGTCTCAAAAAAAAAAAAAAAAAGAAAAAACTACTCATAATTCCCTATACCTTCATTTTCCTATTACTGGCATTGGATAATGCTGGGATTTTTTCTATGCATATTTTTAAATAACAAAAGTCGTAGTACATTTATATCATTACATTTAATGTCTTAGGAATGTTAACATGGTCTTCATACTCTATGCTTAATGATTGCATCATTCTCCATCAAGTGAATATAACAATTGAATCACAATCCTTTTATTGGGTGTTTCTAACTTTTTTTTCAGACAGAGTCTCACTTTGTCCCCCTTGGTAGAGTACCATGACATCATAGCTCCCAGCAACCTCAAACTCTTGTCTTAAGCAATTCTCTTGCCTTAGCCTCTCTAGTAGCTGGGACTACAGGCGCCCGCCACAACGCCTGGCTATTTTTAGAGATGTGGGTCTCACTCTTGCTCAGGCTGGTCTCAAACCTGTGACTTCAGGCAATCAACCCACCTTGGCGTCCTAGAATGCTAGGATTACAGGTGTAAACTACTATGCCTACCTTATTTCTAACTTTATTACAAACGGTACTTTAGTGAATATCTAAGTGAGTGTAATTTTAGTATAATTTATATTGGAATCTAGAATCCCTAGATTCTAAAGCTAGACACCCAGAAGTAGAATTTCTCAGTTGGTGTAGGGACTATTTTATGGTTCCAAATGCACATTCTTATTTGCTCTTCTTGCCCAGTACTAATTTTTTCCCTAAATGTACAAAAACTACCAATTGCATTGCCTTCCAGAACTCACCTCCCTGACTTCAGACATGGTAGAATAGTGGCACATGTTTTTGCCTTTGATTCTCTTTGTAGCCAGCAGAAGGGAATTATGAAAAGGCTGGCCTAGGACCATTGAGGCCTTAAGCCTCTGCTGAGAACTTAACTCTTGAGATGGTATCAGGAACACTGTGCTGAAGGTGAGCAGATGGGTACATAGTATCAGCTCAAGTAGGCCAGAAGCTGTAATATTTTGGGAAAGATGGGGACCTGATAAATAGTTAATTTTCTGTGCCACAGGTTCTTAGCTCTATTTTATAGTATTTCTCATGAGAACTCAAGGAGATAACAATATTGTAAGGTGTGCCAGTATTTTCCCCAAGCCTATCAGGGTTATATGCCTAAGGTCATATATGTAGTTGGCGACAGTCATAGAGATAACCTGGCACAGGGCACTAATCCTAGTTCTTTTATTATAGGAACTCTGCAAATAGTACTTTAGTCAATATCTACGTCAGCAGTTCTCAACCTGTGGGTCGCAACCCCTTTGGGGGTCAAACGACCCTTTCACAGGGGTCACCTAAGACATCAGAAAACACATATTTCTGATGGTCTCAGGAACCAAGATACCACTCCTCTATCCATCTCTAGGCAGGTCCGCCAACATGTGAGTACCCGGCATGATGACATCATCACACCAACCTCATCACATACACCCCATACAAATACAGGTGTACGTGACAGGGTTGGTGTCATAATATACTTATGCGGACCAGTCACACGTGTAGAAAGCAGCTACTGTGTTGAAAGCAGCAGTATTAGAGGTAAAACAACACTTCATGAATTATAATTACTGGGTAAATGTAAAATCATGCACTATAAAATCATCAACTACTGCAAAAAAAGAAAAAAATCTGTACCATGAGAACTCAACCTGGATGCTGATTGGTTTTTTTATATTCAGCTGTGGTTGATGTGAATACTGTCCCCTTGTGATAGTAACAGGTATATTTTAAAAACAGAGAATCATAGGAAACTTTAATGAACTATATTGACTGAACTACACCATGTATCATCTTTTGTGTTAGTAAAGCTGTTGTTATATATTATTTTCATTAGCAAACCATCCCATGACAATGGATCATATAGAGAAGAATGTTAAGAAAAGAAAATATAGTGAGGATTTTTTACAGTATGGTTTTACCTCAATAATTACAGCAGGAATTGAGAAACCGCAATGTGTTGTTTGTTGTACAGTTTTATCAGCCCAATCTATGAAGCCGAACAAACTTAAACACCATTTTGATAGCAAGCATCCGAGCTTTGCCAGCAAGGATACCAACTATTTTAGAAGCAAAGCTGATGGATTCAAGAAAGCCAGACTTGACACTGGTGGCAAGTACCACAAACAAAACATAGCAGCTATTGAAGCTTCATATTTGGTGGCACTCAGAATTGCCAGAGCTATGAAACCTCACACCATTGCTGAGGATTTACTGTTGCCAGTGGCCAAAGACATTGTTTGAGTTATGATCAGAGATGAATTTGTTACAAAATTGAGTGTGATTTCCTTATCTAATGACACTGTCCGCAGAAGAATAGATGACATGTCCGCTGATATTCTTGATCAGGTAATCCAGGAAATTAAATCTGCTCCACTTCCAATATTTAGTATCCAGCTTGATGAATCTACATTGCAAACTGTTCACAGTTACTGGTTTACATGAGGTATATTGATAATGGCAACTTAAAAGATGAGTTTCTTTTTGCAAACTTTTTGAAATGACAACTACTGCATGTGATGTATTTGACACAGTTGATTCATTTCTGAAAGAGTATAAGATTTCTTGGGAAAAAGTTTGTGGTGTTTGCACAGATGGTGCTCTAGCTACGCTAGGATGTAGATCTGGATTTCAATGTTTGGTACTGAATGAGTCACCAAAAGTCATCGGAACTCACTGCATGATTCATCGGCAAATATTAGCAATGAAGATGCTGCCACAAGAGTTACAAGAAGTAATGAAAAGCGTCATAAATTCTGTCAATTTTGTAAAGGCGAGCACTTTAAACACTCAACTGTTGTCGCAACTGTGCAACAAGTTGGATGCGTGGAACAATACTCTGCTATTTCACACTGAAGTGAGATGGTTGTTGAGAGGAAAAGTTTTAAAACATGTTTTTGAGCTTCATGATGAACTCATAACATTTTTAAATCAGAAATCAAGACCACAGTTCGAAGCACTTTTCAGTGATAAAAATGAACTGCAGAAAATAGCTTACTGGGTTGACATCTTTGCCATCTTGAATGAGTTAAATTTATCACTGCAAGGACCAAATGCAACATGCCTCAATTTATCTGAAAAGATCCAATCATTCCAAATAAAACTTCAGCTTTGGCAAAAAAAATTGGATGAAAATAAAATTTACATGTTGCCTACGTTAATCTGCTTTCTTTGAGGAACATGACATTGAACCAGACAAACGGATTACAATGATAATTTCTGTGAAAGAACACTTGCACATGTTTGCAGACGAAATTTCATTGTACTTTCCAAATCTACCTGACACCCTACTTGCTCTTGCCAGAAGCCCATTCACAATCAAAGTTGAAGATGTTCCTGAGACAGCACAAGAGGCGTTCACAGAACTTATTAACAACAATGCAGCAAGAACAGATTTCTCTACAATGCCAGTTACAAAATTCTGGATCAAGAGTTTGCAGTCATATCCTGTTCTTTCTCAGATTGTGTTGCACCTCTTCTTCTATTTCCAACAACATATTTTTATGAAATAGGGTTTTCCAGCTTGTTGGTTATCAAGTCTACATACAGAAGTAGACTTGTTGTGGAAGATGATCTTCGCTGTGCTCTTGCAAAGACTGCCCTGAGAATTTCTGATGTGGTGAGAAAGATGCAATCTCAACTTTGGCAC